TCCCAACCGATAATATCATGGCGCAACCCTTGCAACAAACATGACCTCCCAATCCGTGCATCTTCTGCACAGGCACCAAGTTCTCCCATAGGTTCTTCAATGTTAAGCCGTCCGTCGCCGTTTTTATCAAGAAGCTGAATACTCGATTTTTCTGTTCAATCTCGATACCTTTGGAAGATGGGAAAACCTATCTTTAAGACGCAATGCTGCAAATTCAACTGTAGCCTTCATATCATTTTGACCTTGAGCCGATTTGCATGGGCACAATCAACTAAATGAGCTTCTAAGTTCTAACTAACATTGCTAGATGACTTCAAAGCATTTTGCATCATGTTCTGTCATGATGTAAGTATTCTAATATCATAAATGTTATCAAGTAAAATATTATAATTATAATATATATTAAAATTGTTTAATATTTTATTGTGTATTACATACTATAGTCCATAATAAAATAATGATAATTTAGGTTTTTTTGGTAAGTTGTTTTTTTTTTTTACACCGATGCTTTAGTTTTTTTGTCATTTTTTTTTCGCTGAGTTGTTTTTTAGCTTTTTTTTTTATCTTTTTTTCTTATGCCTTTAAGGTTTTTCTTTTTTGCTTCTTTACTTTTTTATTTAATTTAGTTTGTTAATATTAATTTTTTTTATTTAATTATTAGACTTTCATGACATGAATGTCGGGTTTAACAAGTTAACCTGATTTAATGAGTTAGCCCGATTATTAGACTTTCATGACATGAATGTCGAGTTTAACAAGTTAACCTGATTTAATAAGTTAGCCCGAATTTTTTTCTTTTTTTCTTTTTAATTAGTTTTTTTGTTTACTTTAGTTTGTTAATGTTAAATTTCTTTCAATTTAGTTATTAGATTTTCATGACAAATATCCCAGGTTTGACAAGTTAACTTGGTTTCGCAGATTAACCTAGTTAATTCTGAGTTAACCCAGCAATTGTTTTTTGTTTTTTTCTTTTAATAAATTTTTTTTATTTAATTTAGTTTGTTAATGTTAAAAAAAAATTATTTAGTTATCAGACTCTTATGACATTGATTCCGGGTTTAACATGTTAACCTGATTTGACGAGTTAACCTTTAATTTTTTTCATTTAGTTTAGTTTGTTAATATTAAATTTCTTTCTATTTAGTTATCAGACTTTCATGAGACATATCCCAGGTTTGACAAGTTAACCTAGTTTCACGAGTTGACCTAGTTAATTCTGAGTTAACTCATCAATTTTTTTTCTATTTAGTGATCAAACTTTCATGACGCGAATTCCAAGTTTAACAGGTTAACCTGGTTTTGAAGGGTTAACCCAGTTAATTCAGATTTTTTTTCTTTTTCTTCATTAGTTTTTTTTCTTCCTATTGGTTTTTTCCACGGTGAAAAAGTTAATGCATTTAGTTTTTTTTTTTTGCTTTTTTGTTTGTTTTTTAATTAACTTTTTTATTTACTTTCTTAATATTAAATTTTTTCTATTTAATTATTAAATTTTTATAATACGGATTCCAAATTTGATAGGTGTTACTAGTTTATTCAAATTTTTTCCCCTTTTCTTCATTATTTTTTCTTCCAGTAGGTTTTTTTTCTCTTTGATTTTTCCTTTTTAATTAATCTTTTTTAATTTAGTTCATTAATATTAAATATTTTTTATATTTAATTATCACACTTTCATAACACGAATCTCAAGTTTGACGGGTTAACTTAAACTTGGATCATGCAAGTTTAATGTTATTATTAATATTGTAAATACTATTCTTGGGTCAAATGTTACAGCCACACCTAAGACTCTTGGGTATACCTTTGTAGAAAAACCTAATATTTTTAGATCTTAGTCTTTTTTATATTTTTTATGCAAAAAATATTGATCCATGGCATCGTACGAGTCATGTAACTAGTAGATATACTAAAACAACATGGTGTTTTCCTCCTATAGACATGAAAAAATTATAGATTTTGTCAAAATAATTTCTATTGCGGTGACAATTTTATTTGTTTGTTTTTTTTAGAAAACAAGTTTTCTTTATATTTTCTTGCTCTTTATACTTGGTATTTTTATCATTTTATATTTAATTTATTTATCACCGCTTTTTTTCTTAACTTTATTTTTTTGTAATATTTTTTTAGTTTTTTTCTTTACATTTTTTGAAAAAAATATTATTTTTTACATATTGAATATTTATCACTTTATACTTAGCGTATTTATACCATTCCTTTTGTTCTTATCTTTATTCTTTATAATTTTTTTAATTTTTTTCTTCACACTTTTTATTTTTAAAAGATTATTATACAAAACTAAGAAAATAGCGTTTTATTATGGCAATTACAATATTATTTTATTCTTCTACTATGTTAAGAATTAGCTTTAGATCTTTTTCATTTTTATTAACACACATGATCTTTACTATATTTTATTATATGTGAGCATTGATTTTTGATTCACTAGTATATTTGTTACCTGATATAAAAAAAAGACATTAATAATGCTTATAAATTAATTCTTGTGTTAGAAAAAAATGTTCGATCTACATAAAAGCAAGTTGAATAAATGTGTTGACACTTTATTTTTTGCATTTATTAACATAAATGGTTTTTGATATATATATTGAATTAAATGCATGCATAGATTTTTTTATTTATAATTAGATTTTTCAAATAAAAAATATATTTGAAAAGCTTGAAAATTTATTTATTTTTTTTCAAAAAAAATATTTGACCCATTATGAAACACGAGTCAAATAACTAGACTTATCTATTTTAAGTTAAATTCAATTAAACTCAAATTAGACCCCTATAGTTTATTTTCTTATATTAGCTTTATAGTTTTTTAAATCCTCCAAACCAGTTTTCATCCTTTAATAATAGTTATGAATTTCTTTCTTAAAAGAAAAAACAATGAATGATGTTGTTCGACTACTTTAATGAGGTTTTAAAATAAAATCTTTAATAAAAGATATTAACATAAGAAGCTAGTCTAATAAAAGAAATTAAAAATAATTATCAACAGAGTTCTTTCTTTTGTATATGAAACCTCTTAATCAAAACGTAAAAATAATTCCGCCCTGTTCAATATCAAATTGAAGTTAATCATAAAGCAAAATTGAATTCATTTTGAAACCAATAAAAAAAACACAATTCATTATAATTGTATTTAATAAACCAATAGATAATATTTTCTTGGTCTTTCTCATCTTTACTTCCCTTTTTCAAACAAGCAATATAGCAATTGAGACTTGAACTTCATCAATTCTAATTTACACTCTGTATGTTACAAAATATATTTATATTATGGTACATGGACATATGTGATTCATTGATTGAGCCAATAATTTGGTGACTTTAGCATTGCGTTTTCAGAATATTTTTTTAAAAATTTGAATTTATTTTGTTTTTTAAAATTAATATTTTTTTTGATATTTTTAAATTATTTTAATATACTATATCAAAAATATTTTTTTAAAATATTTTTCTAAAATAAAAAACATTTTAAAAAGTAATAACTACTATCTTTTTAAATACATTTTTAATTTAATAAATATCTATTTATTTTTACAATCATAATTATAATTATATTCTTGAACATTTCTCAAGTCAATGTCCGATATGAGTTGAATAAACTAGAATAAAGGAGATGTGGACGATGATACAAGTATGAGATCTAAACAAATCAGTTATTAGGAAATATAATTTCTTAAAGTTATCGTAGGAAATATCTCAAGGTTGGCATTTGAATTATTATTTTTTTCTTCGAGACACTTTAAATTCAACTCAACACCCTCCCCTCCTCAAAGTGGTTGAATCTCCTGTTAGGATTTTTCCACTAACCCTCTCCGAGTGATAGATATCTTTCTCGGAATGATTATATTTTAAGCTCTGTTTGTTTGTAGGAAAGTTATTTTTTTTTGGAAAATGAATTTTAAGAAAAATGAATTCCTGAAAAGTAAAG